CCTGTTTTAATAGTTATTAGCTCTGTGATCATTGGCAAGTCACTTAATCTCTGCACTCCAGTTTTACCAGTTGTTAAATAGGGATAATAGTACATCTGCTGACTACTTTATAGTGTTATGGTGAAAGTGTTTTGTAAAAGTGTTTTATATCCTATCCCAGCAGGGCTCTGGGCCTGGCATTAATACATGCTACGGCTGTGGTAAACCAACTGGAGCCCAATTTAGATGTTCAAAAACCAATAGCTCCTCATTGTCTACAGGGCGAACTTCTAGCTTGGCATTCAGCTTGTGCTTCTCCAAATCTGACCCCTTCCTCTCCAACTTTATTTCTCAACTTTCCATTCAAGGAAACCTCATTTGTTGTTTTTAACATGATTAAACATATATAACCTCTATCAGATTGCTTACTGTCTCAGGGAAGGGAGAGGAGAAAGAGGAAGGGAGGGATAGGATTTGGAACTCAAAACTTTTAAAAATGTTAAAAGTTGTTTTAACATGTAATTGGAGAAAAAAAACCGAATTATTATTAAAAAAAAAAAAAGAAAATCTCACTTGTCCCTATGAAAAACCATGCTCATTTCTACCTCCCCCACTTTGGCTCCTAGTGTTCCCTTACCTGCAATACTCTCCACACCATAATTCCTCTTTTTTATCTATTCAAATCCTATCTATCCTTCTGGGCCTAAGCCAAGTCCTATCTCCTCCAGGAAGCCTTCCCTGACTATGCGATCTACTTTATTCTCTCCCCCACCCCCTTCCCCCTTTTCTGAATTCAGCAGATAAGTGATATACTTATAATCCTATCACTTAGCCTTTTTTCTGTGTCAGTTTTCACTCCCTCTAACTAGACTATAAACTTGTTGAGGACAGGGAACTTAGGCCTTTTTCAACTCCTCCCATTATAAGCCTGGGAACATAGTTGATAGTAAATAAATAGTTGTTTTTTAAGTGAAATAGTGGAGCTAATTCAAGGTGATGTCTTCTGGTGCTGATTTTCCAAAATGGAATTGACTATTTCAAGACTGGCATCAAGGAAATCATTCATTCCTATAGATTAGTCAAGGACCAAGACAGACCCTAAAATGCAAATCATTATTTCTCTTTATGCCTGCCACCAGATCCTAGTCCAGGCCTATCACTTATGCCTGAATTAATGCAAAAGTCTCCTGTATGATCTCTCCATAGCCCCTTCCCTCCATCCTGCATACCTATTCCTCTTCAGGAGCTGTATGTGATGCTGTATGGTATACTCACTATACATAGGAAAAAAAACCTTCAAAATCTCATGTTTAAAAACATTTCTGCTTTGTTCAAATGTGTTTAAAATATTTATATGATAAAAAAAGTTTTAGTTACTTTAACGAGTCCCTGATAGAGAGCTTCTTAGCAAGGAATTATTAGTTGTTGCTGGGGGGAAATATGTTGATGGGAAACATACCATCATGTGTGAAAGTTAGAGGGATGTAAATTATGGCTCAATTTGAGGAAAAGCTTGCTAAGTATTACAGTGGTCTCAAAGTAAAATGTGCTGCCTCAGGGGTTGGTGAACACCTATCAATGCAAGTCTTTAAGCAGACGCTGGATCCCTTCTGAGGGATGTAGGGATTCCCAATTAAGTACAAGTTAGACCTTGAAGTCTTTTCCAAGGCTTAGACTCCAAGATTAATCTTCCTAATGCACTGCTTTCCTGATGTCACCCCTGCTTCAAAACCTGCTATGGCTACTTACTGCTCCATGTTTTTGTTTTTGTTTTTTTTTAGGTTGGCATTCAAGGTCCTCTGAAATCTGGCCTCAACTAATTTGTGAAATTGATTCAAATTACCTCCCACTACTTGCCTACATGGATTCTCTGTTTCAGGCAGGCTTGGCTGGTTGAACATACCAGACTAATTCCTGTCTCTGGGCCTTCACTCTCTCTCTACCCCTGCATGGCTGCTTGGAATACTCTCCTCTTTCCAAATCTGACCCATATTTTAAGACTTGCCTCAGTTCCCACCTCATCCACAAAGCTTCCCCCACACCTCTCCAGCCAGTAGCCATCTCTCCCTCTTCTGAGATTTTAAAAAGATTATCTCTCTGTGACACTTTTTTGCACTTAATCAAATGCTTCTTTCTATTTTATTTAACTGCTTCATGTGTGTCAATCTTATCTTCTTCAGGGTATAGAGCCACGGCTTGCAGCTTGTCTTCCCCAAATTGCCTAGCACAGGAATAGACATGCAGTAGGGACTCAATGAACATTTGATGGATTGGCTTGAGCACAGATTATTTACCAGAATGGGGTCTCAACAGACATTGGCATGTGACCATTCAAGGGTCACAGGGAGAAAGGGATATCCACGAGAAGGAAGGAGGACCAAGCAGAGGAGAAAACACCAACACCAACAGGAAAGACAGAAACACGATGACTGGCATGTCACTTTTCAGAAGTTTCTTTATGAAATTAAATGTCGCCTCTGGTTCGGAGAAAGGCATAGTGCAAGAATGACTTTTTTTTTTTGCATGCTATACTGAATTCATGGTATCCTTGGACATCCAAATCCAAGCTCAATGACCAACTGTCACCACCAACATCTCAAACCCCCTCTGCTTCCCACGGGGTGGAAGCCTGTGCTGGCCTCCAAAAGTCATCTCTTCTAGGATTATGTTTGACTCCCACCTCCCCAAATGCCTTGGGCGCTACAGAATTCAGTCATTATGGCTTCTAGCTCTCACTATGGTAAGGCAAATCTTTTTCTGTGACTAACCAAGGATTAAATCAATTCTTTTTCTCCTTTGTTAGAAAATCAACCCAACCCCCACCCCCTTGAAAAACCAACAACATCAACAACAAAAAATAACGGAAACAGTCATGAGAGTCACCAACAGCTGACAAGACAGTTACAAACCTTTACAAAATACACAGCTGACTGTATTTGTTTTTGTTTTCTTTTGACCATAAATAAACACATTACAAATGAAGAGGGCATTTTCATTGGCCAGGACTGGAGCAGAGTTGAGGAATGAATTGGCAGGAGCAATGTCATGAAGGTTATGGGATAGAAAGTCAAGAACAGCTCTGATACAAGATTTGCTTAGGCACAGTATTCCCGTTTCCTAATTTACCTAACTCAAAGGAGGGGAAAAACACATCAGAAACTAGGTTTGTTGAACTTTACTCCATGCGGTAGCTGAATGGTGCCATTCAACATGGACTGGGGAGGGGTTCACCCCATGGCTGGGGAAAGCTAGAAAGAAGGTAACAAGGGTCAGTGAAACATATACAGACAGAAAAGAAGGCCAAATGATTGGTTACACCTGCTAAGAAACCACTTCTAGGCCACAGGAGAATTTCCAAAGAGGAAAGAGCCTGGGATTGACCCTTGAATGAAACAACAAAAACCTGAAACACAGGATAGAAGTCAAGTCAGTGAGAACCCATAGTTCTAAGTATGCTCAGTCAGTGCCAGATGTTGTTCCGGGGGGGTTCCTCAGGGCCAGTGAGACAGGTCAAGATGGTGGCCAAACCGGTTAAAAGTTGGAGTCCTTTTGGTGGGCAAATGGTTGTGGGGAGAGGATGAGAGCTGCCCCTGTGTCCCCAGCTTGGGGGGGGAAAGGGGTGTTGCTGGTAGGGCGGCTAAGAAAGATCTAACACAAAGGCCAGTCGCTGCAAGAGGGTCCTTGGGTGGTCCATGGTCTGGTTTAGGATGATCTCCCCAGCTCGCCCTTAATGTCAAGGAAGTAAAACAACAAAAAAGGCACCAACCCCGATGACACCAAATTGCTGCCTCCCCCACTTGAGAATTCAGTTTGCAAAATAAATAGGGAAAGGAAGGATGTAGGGCTGGGGATGTGAGAGGGAGGGAGACAGGGAGACTTGGGAATGGAGGGAGCAGAGAGGGCTGGAAGAGCCGGTGATGAGTCCATTTGGGCCGATCCTTAAAGTGCTTTATTGGAAGGGGTGAGGAGAAGGGAGATGTTGAGGCACGGGCACAGGGGGCCACCCCTTCCAGCTGGTCACTTGCGGAAGGGGGTCAGCCTGCTGATATTCTGCCAGAAGTTTGATGGCTTCCGCTTGGGTTCGGCCAGCATGAAGACTTGCTGCTGTGGGAGGTTGGCAGGCAGCGTGGGATGCTTCTGGCGCATCAGGAAGTCATAGTAAGGCCGGTTCACGGCTGTCAAAAGGAAGAAGGAAAAAAAACCTCAAAAAGTCATAGAATGTTTCTTAGCTGGCAGGGACTTTGTTAGATGATAATGATTGACTCAATGACTTCATTTCACAGATGAGGAAGCTGAGAAGGGAAGTGATTTGCCTAAGGTCACAGAGACGTGCAAACCTCCACCTAGAGTTGGAGGGACCTCTCTTTGATGGAAAAAAGAGTCAATGTAGTCTGAGAGAAAAGAGCCCTCATCTGGAGTCAGAGGTTCTGGGTTCAGATCTTAGCTCTGCTACTTACTACCTGTGAGACCATGGGCAAATCACTTCCCTTTGCTAGGATCACTTACTCATTGACAAAATGAGAGTTTTAGGGTGGATCATCTCTAAGGTCCTTCTGGCTCTAAATCTATGATCTCATGGATTCTGTGAATATAACAGGATACAACAGGGGAATTTGCCAACAGGACCCTCCTCTGAATCCTTTGGTATACACACACACACACACACACACACACATACCTCTCTCTGTGCATATTATATAATTATTATATTTTAAATATATTAAACACATGATGTTTTATATTTTATATAACATTTTATATATGTAATACACACATGTATATATATTTATTTTTGTCATCCCTTCCACATCCAAACTTACTTGGGGGGGGAGTTAAAAATATATTGGATGTGCTTGAAATGAGGCTGACCTATAATATTAAAAGTTTAGCAAAACTGACTTCTATGATGCCTGCAATAATATGTAAAAAGATCAGTGAGAATTACATACAGAAACCAAGGTTAAAAAAGGATGTGGCAAGTTTTAGTGACTTTGTCTGGAGGAGATAGGGAGATAGATGGTTGATGGGCTAGGGCTATGGGCAGGAGGAGGGGCAAGTTCTATGGCTTAGAACACAGGGCACTTCTGTGGGCTCTTCACTCACCTTTGGGTTTCCCACTGGACTGTTGTTTGTTTGCATTCAGCATGGCCTGTTTCTTCTGTACCTCTGTGATGGAGAAGCCTGAGGGAGAACAGAGAGGAGGTCAGAGGATATCCATGGGAGACTTCATCTCCCACATAGCCAAAGCAGTCAAGAGGTATGCAGAAGACCAGGTCATTATAACTTTGGACCAACTCCAGCATGCCTTAAATAATCTTCCATGACCCTTATATTTCTCCTCATTTCTAAGCAAAGTCCCAATTCTCCTTTTTTTTTTTCTTCTACCTTCTTGTACATCTTTTTCTTCTCCTTACACCTTGCATGTTTCTATTGTGCTTTTAGGTTTGAAAAGCACTTTCATCCTTCAGGTAGGTCATATAATTATGATTATTTTACAAGATGAGAAGATTGAGGTTCAGAAAACCAAAAAGATCAATGATAGAGGGAAGAAGTGTCTCTTATTTTACATGGTCAATAAGCTGCATTTCACCCAGATATTTGTGAACCAAATCACTTTAAAAATACACCACAGTAGAATGATGTGGAAAGATATTACTGATTATACTTTAGCACTTTCAACTTCTTTTATACTTGAAATAAAAAAATTAGGTGAAAACTTGATCCTTTGATGGTCCTCTACCTCTAGAGAACCATCTCTTTTTGGTGGATGCATGTAGGTCTAAATTCTCTCGTTCCCTTCCCTAGCTTGGCTGGTTTCTTCTCCCACAGGAGGACTCTCCCCTTACCATCAGCCCATACTGACCTTTCTTTCCTCTAAGTTCCTCAAGTACTTATATGCCATGCCACGTAATCTATCTCAATAGCCACCTCCTATGCCACAATCTATCTCAACAAACACAGTCAGAGGGCCTGGGTTCACATCCTCTTCCCCTGGGCCTCATTTTCCTCAACTGTACAGTGGACTAGGTGCCTCCAAGATTCATTCTACATTTCAATCTGTGACTCTATGAGAAGTACATGAGTCTTTCTTGATTGCCCTTCACCTTCCAGTTCCTAGGGCCTCCCCCTAAAGTCACCTAAGTCAATATCTGTCCATGTTTCTGTCTAATTGAATATAAGCTCCTTGAGGGCAGGAACTCCCTATTTCATTTTTGTTTTGTATTCTCAGGGCCAAGCACAGTGTCTGGCTCATTTCCTTTCCTAAATGCCAAACAAAGGAGCTCATATTTTATGAGGAAAGCAAGAGGAAGCTCTTGAAGCTTTGAATAGGAGAGTGATGTGGTTAGGTTGTACTTTAGCACAAGGTGGGTGCTTAATAAAGGTGTGCTGACCGAGAAGCAGATGTGTGCATGTTGGGGGCTGGGTTGGTGAAGGGAGACAGGGGCAGGAGCTGGGTCATACCTGTCTCCTGGTCCAGCTGGACTTGTTTCCTCTCATTCTCAAAGGCCTTGAGCCAGCGCAATTTCTGCTCAGGTTTCTTAGCGCAGAAGAGATGGCTTTCATCAGTGGAGCTGCAATGAAGCTTGAAGGCATTTTTGACACTGACGTTAAAGTCCTTGTCCTTCCCATCTTCCAAGTCCACGATCTCCATGTCATCCATGTTGATTCGGCCCTTGTAGTACAAGATGTCCCTCCGGAGAAGGTCCTGGAAGACATGCACAGTGGGGGCATTGAGGGCACATTCTTCATGGCTTGACTCAGACCAACTAACTTTGAGGAGCCACCCCAGACTGACCTCCCCTGACTCTATTTGGTGCCTACCCAGCCCTTGATACAAGGTCATTTTACATGGAAGAATAGGTTTGCTTCACATTCATGTGTCATTTCATGTGTCATTCCTAAGGAAATCACTGGGGTGTAGTGGAAAGAGTTCCAGATTTGAAATCAGAGGGCCTGGGTTCATATTCTCTTCCACTGGGCAAATCTTCTCTGGGCCTCATTTTCCTCAATGGTATAAAGGACTAGATGCCTCCAAGATTCATTCTACATTTCAATCTCTGACCCTATGATTTTCTGGCTATGTTTTCCATGTATCCCAACAGGGCCCAGTGAGGTAGGGTACAAGTATTATTTCCCCCATTTTGAGGGGGGAAACTGAAATGAGGAAACCGAGGCTGAGACTATATAGATCATAAGTGTCAGGTCTTGATTTGAACCCAGGTCTCCTGATTCCAGGTCTTGGGATTTTTTTCTACTATCTCATGCTGCCTCTGGGCTCTGCACATAGCAGATTCCCACAAGCAGATGCTTTTCACTTGCTGGGTGAAAGTCATGGTTTGTTTTCTGCCTCCAATATTTATATCCCCAAACCAAACAGCTAAGCCAATGCCTGTCCTATGAAAAATAAAAGTCACCTTAAATGTTTACAACACTTTATGTTCACTGAAGCCCTCTCACTTTTATTTATCATCTCATAAGTCCAGAGCTAGAAGGGACCTTAGTCCTATGGCCTCATTTTACAGATGAGAAAACTGAGGCTCAGGGAGGTTAAATGATTTGACAGAGATGGGATTTGAAACCCAGCATCCTTTGACTCCAGAGCTAATGCTCTTTCCACTGTACCACTCTAAGGTCCCTTCTGGTTCTAAATTTGAGATTTTATGACTCATAAGAACTTGAGTGCTATTGGTAATACCTTCAAAAATCCTGGGTCACCTCTATGCCACAGTGAGCAATGAGGCATCAGAGGAGGACCTGATCAGAGAAGCCTTTTATGATAGCAATAAATAATTCTATTACACAGAATACTATTTATTTCATGAGTTTGTGTCTTAACTTATCCTTATACCATTTCCCAAAAGTGATAGTTCAATTTTAGGCTACTAAAGCTTAAAACTACCCTAAAACTTTTAAGGATACCCCATATTTTACCCCACAAACCCTAGCACGATTTTAGGGGTATAACAATTAATAAATCCTTGCCGGTTGACTAACTGATCATGTTCAGAATCTGAAATATCTTCTAAGCGAGTAGCAAAGAGTTAAGAATGTTCATTAGTGGAAGGTTTTCCTTATATTGTGCGCAGGAGGAGAGAGACTCAGCCCAGGAGAGGTATTACAGCTCAAAAGACATTTCAGGGAGAATCTCAGCATCTGATTTTGGTGAGCCCTGCTTCATGCAAAAGATATGTTCTATAATGTTACCTTTAAAGCAGTAATGATGATAGCTGACATTTGTATCATGTTCTAAATTTTCAAAAAAAAAATCTTACAAACATTATCAAATTTTATTTCCACAAAAATCTGGCAAGGTAGGTATACTGCACCCATGATTGTTCCCATGTTGCAGATGAGCTTAGAGAGGTAAGTTAAGGCCCACAGTCACGAACTCATAGCTATTAAATGCCAGAGGCAGGAATAAAATCCAGGTCACTGTTGACTCCCAAGCCCTGGGCTCATTCTATGCCACATATCTTCTTAGAACAAATGCTATATTTACTCTCTCATTTCTGAGAAGCTTCCAGATTCACCTTTAAGGGGCAGAGGCTCTTCTCACTTCCAAATTAAGTTCTCTTCCCTCACAACCAGTCTTTATGATGAGAAGCTAATGATCTATAAGCAAACACTTAAGTCCACTAAGCTGTATTTAAAAGATGCCTGTAATTAATTGATTTAGTTCTTCATAACAGAAAAAAGTTCTTATGTGATATAAATATACTTCATATACACATCCAGAGATATGTTTGGGTATGGGTGGTCTAGATGGGCCCATCAGTGTGGCTTCTTCCTATTGTGTGGTTTATAAGTTAATATTTGATTCCCATCTACCAGAATTGCATAAAGCAAGACCCTTTTCTATTGGTTTTTTGGTATTTCTGTACATGTTTAGGACCATCCAATAAAAAAGGTCAGTCACCTTCAGTCTGCCAGATGAAGAAATGAAGGGTGACTAAGATAATTATCTAAATTAATAATTGACTGGCTTTTCCAAACCTTATCTCTAATTTCCCTTTATGAGATTGTTATCCTAGCCAGCTGGCCTCACTTTATTCATTCCAGCCTCTGGTCTTTTGTTTAGAGTAGGGGTGTCAAACTCAGCTGCATGGGCAAAACTCCCCACTGCAGACTGATCCAGAATTAAAATGTAATTGGGAAATGTTTAACAAAATAAATCAAAATGCAAATACAACATAGATCATGTTAATTTGTGGTTTTCTAAGTCAATAAGTGGCTTGCAGGGATCCCTTTCTATTTGAGTTTGACACCATTGGTTTAGACCCTTTCTCCTGGCTGAAATACATTGCTCACTCATTCATTTCTACCTACTAAAATCTACACATCCTTTGTTTGTTGTTGTTGTTTATCCTTCACTCTTGAAGAGGACCACAGCCTCAGGAAGGTGATGCCATGACTTTCAAGTGGACTGGATTTAAGATGGCTCTCCTCCAGAGCCATCCAGGCCCAGTGGCAAGATATAGATCAGGACAACTAGAGATGGCCCTAGATGCAGTGGCAGACATTGGTTTTTTAAGCCAAAGTCTTTCCCAGGTCTCACTCTAACACATCCTTTAAGGCCTAGCTCAAGTTCTACCTTATTCATGAAATGTTCTTCATTACTCCAGCTCACACTGGTCTCCTCTTTTGAACTTCTATGGTGCTTACTGTCTATGCCACTTATCAGACCCCCAGAATTTTCTATCTTGTACCATTATTTAACTGTTTGACATTGACAGACAGTGGAAAGCGTGCTAGGTTGGGAGTTAGAACTGGGTTTGAATCTGAGCTCTTCCATGTCCTGCCTGTGTGACAATGAGAAACCATTTAACCTCTCTGGGTCTCAATACCTCATCTGTAAACAGAATGGGTTGGACTTGTGACATCTAAGGTCCCTTCCAGTTCTAAGTTTATTTTCCAATAATCTTATGTCTCATCTCAAATAAATTGTGAGCACCTTGAGATTAAAGAGCCATGTTTCTCCTCCTTTGCAACGTCTCCTGCTGTCTAGAATGGGGGTAGGAACACATTCTTTGACTAATTAGCTTGCGATCTGCTTAGTCCATGAGAAAGTCAGTAGGCCCTCCCTCTGAAAAGGAAGGAGCCAGGAGGCCAAGTGGAAGAGCTTAATAGCTGACTATTTCTGAGGGCTAGATCACTTACCTGGTATAGACCTACAACCCCAATTACCTTTTTACAGTAGATGAGCTGGTGGTCGAAGAGGAAAAACATTCGCTGTTGGCTCTTGGCTTGGGGTTGAGAGATTCTGGTTAATTCACCAGAGTGGATGAGTTCAGAGCTTCTGGCAAGGACGTCTTCACCCTGGCCGGGTGAAAAAGGGATCTGTGAGGCGGACTCCTCCCTACCCCTAATGAAGACCCAAACAATGGCTCAATGAAATGGGAACCCAGAATCACCAAGCTTCCCTCTTCACCTCCAAGAAACTTCTGATCCACAAATCCCTCCCATGGTTTTTAACTCCTATATCCCTTACAATCTAAACCACATAAATCAGAACGTGATTATATTTTGCCAAATGCCATTCTTTCCTTGTTTCATATGAAAGGTAACATTTTCTAATATAGATGTTAAGGTTTAGGCCCTGGTTACTTCCCACCCTTAATTCCATCCAGATCCCTTCCAAGTTCATCTGGGGCACCCAGCCCTTCCAGGTCCTTCTCTGTTACCTCCCAGTAACCCCAGCCTACTGGCCACTCCTAGATCCTTCCTATAGTCTTTCTACATAAAAGGTCCATCTCGCCCTTCATTAAATTGCTCAGATTCTTTAAGAGTCTGGCCTATAATGCAGATTCTTAAAATCATGCCCACTTTGATCTTTGTTCTAATAAACCTTGTCTTTGGCTGAAAGAAGACTTGGGTCGAATTCTTTTGAGGCAGGACCTGTGTCACTATTTCAGGGACCCAGCACCCCTAAACCTCAACATAGGGACTGGGTAAAGGCAATAAATAAGCTGTTTAGCAAAAGATGAATTTTTGCTTGAACATGAAGCCTTAGAAATGAAGGAAGGGGCATCTCAAGTACACAAAAACTTTTGAGGGTAGAATTAAAACGTGGGTATGTCTTCTATATAAGATCAACCTGCACAGATCGATCAAGAAACTCTTCTGATGTGGTGATGGGTTTTGGGTAATCCTTTCCTCTGGTCAAGATCTATCCTGTCATGGTACCAGAAATGAGACCATTAAAGCATCATTTAAAAAAATTATTATTAAACATTACCTTTTTTGGATTGCTCTTCAAAAATGCAAATGTCCCCAGAAAGGGGAGGTGGGGGTAGGTAGTATGTCAAGCTGTTAAAAGTCATCCACACTTCTGGTGAATTAATTTACTAGGGAATTAATTCTCTCCCTTTCCATCTTCTCCCTGACCCTTTGTCTAGGTGGTATTAGGGTCCTATAAGAATGAAAACATGGTTGGGGGGTCAGATGGGATAATTTGGAAGTCTTGGTCCCTGCCAAGGAGGAAGAGTCATTCTGGGGATTGTAGGAAGGGTCTCTAAATAGCCAAAGAGCAACATAAGGGCACAGGAGGGAAGGGGCAGTGTCAGGCAATAGGTGGGAGAAGTCCACAAAGGGGGAGCGGAGTGGTGGGAAGGACAACTTTGTCAGCTTCACGATTTTACCAATTTTACGAGGACCAGCCCTGCCTGAAGACATGGAAATGCATTTCTGAATAACAAGCATCAATGCCTTTAGCCTTGGGAATGTCCACAGCTGAGTGAAGAAAAGCATGTTCAGTGGAATGTCAATAATTAGTTTAGGACTGGGTGCTGCTCAAGCACAGGATAAATAGGAGCTGGAGAAATGGACAAGCAGGAAAAAAAGAGAATTAAGAGCCTTCCTGATCTCAGAGCACTTCTTGTCATCACCTTCCCATTAAGAGGCACAAATGCAGTGACTGAAGGTCACGGATTACATTTATCAACCAGGTAATTAATGTCTGCTATGGGAAAAGAACAATTAGAAAAACTGTTCCTACTTAACTTCCTGTTCTCAAGCATAATCATTTATTTGTTTAAGGACTCTGCCTTTTTTTTTTTTTTAAAGCCCCGTTAGCATGTGAAAATGAAGTTGCCTTTGGAAAATGCATTTACATTTCATACCAGGAAGCTAAGTTTAGTATGCTAATGGACTTAATAAAGGCTAGAAGGCTTATTTTAAAAAGCAGTTGGCCTTGGAAACTATTATGAGAATTTTTTATTTCCTTTTGTTATTCAGGCCTCAGGGTCATTCCTCCTGCAGATTTTGGTTAACTAAGAGTCTGTCTTAATAATAACCTCACCTGACCAAAACCTGTTCCATAGAACATGAAAATTTACTTATAGCCTTAAACATTCTTCAGATAAGAAGCTGGCCTGAGTAATCTCAACTCTCTCTTGGCTCCTTGGTGACATGGAAATCCTTTCCAGTCATCCTGTTTGTGAATCCTCTAGAAGTAATTTAATCTCTACCTGACTTAGTTTATCTACAGAGTTTGTTTGACAAGGTTTGTTTCCTTAGGGGAAGTATGAAATTATGACTCAATGTTTAACTATATTTGTTCAACTTTTATGACATTGAGGAAGTATGGGATTTCGGATCTACTATCTCTTTAGCATTTATGGCCTGAGAGGAATGTCCAAGATTGCAATATGTAAAAGAATGATTTCTCTGTCACTATGATACAATTTTGCCTCTAAGAAACCTTGTCAGAATCCTCATGGTTGTTCAGGTTTTCTGTAAGGCCTGAACCCATGCTTGAGCATAATAATAAAACCTAGATTTTTCCCTCTATAATTTCTGTGCTGTGGCAAATATATGTTTAGCGGCAGTTACCTACTATACGAACTCAGAGGGGAAATACTTCTCCCATAACAAAACAGAAATTTAAATAGAGACGTAAGGCCCAGCCTTGCTAGAGTACCTAGAACAGGGCACAGAAAAAATGTTTAATAAATGCTTGTTGGTTTCAATCTTCCTTCCACCACTGACATCTGACTGAGTTCCTCATTAAACCATCATACATCTGAGATGTGTTGGGCGACGTGCCTATAAGTCTTGTCTCCTCCACCAGCCTAACTTTCATGTGGGTGATGACAATTTCTAAAGTGGGTTTCATGATAATCTGATTCCTCCTCCAGTGAGGTTTTAGCTAGGCTGAGCATCTGGGTTCCTCATAGAAGAAGCATTCACTTGGAGGGGTGAGTTGTTCATTTTACCTCCCAGTCCTCTATTGAACTCTGCCATTGAGCAATTTTATCTATATTTTCAAGTCTCCTCTTCCGCTCATTGATGAGTCGGGCTACGTTCTTCATAGCATTTAAGGCAGCTTCTACATCTTTGAAATCCCTAAAGTAAAATATATGTCATTAGCAGTGCATCACATGCCAGCGATATAAATGATCATAGGATCGTGAATTAAAATCTGTGAAACATTATTTTTCCCCAAATGCCTTAATGATAATAACTCACATTTCTGTAGGACTTTAAAGCTTGCAAAATGATTTCTTTGCAACAAACCTGAGAGATAGATAGGGACAGGGTCTAGGACTATGATTTCATTGCCATAGGGGACTCTCATTTGAGGAAACTCTCTCTACCAATGCAGCTTGGCACCTTCTCACCAACTTACAGTCTTTGAGAGTTGTCCAGAGCTCTGAGGAATAAATGACTTGTTCAAGTTCAACAAGACAGTGTGTCTCAGAGGTAAAACTTGAACTCAGGTCTTCCTGGCTTTAAGACTAGCTCTACCCACCATGCTATACTATCTTTCTGAGATAGACAGTACAAGTATTATTATTATTATTATTGTTATTATTATTTTTGCTTTTTGGTGAGGCAATCGGGGTTACACAGGGTCACACAGCTAGTAAGTGTCAAGTGTCTAAGGCCGGATTTGAACTCAGGTCCTCCTGACTCCAAGGCTGGAACTCTATCCACTGTGACACCTAGCTGCCCTCATATTACCATTCTTTTTACAGATAGGGAAACTGTCTCTGAGAAGGTAAGTGACTTGCCCACAGCCAGTTTATAAGTATTAGAGGTAGGTTTCAAACCAAGATCTCCTGATTGCAAGTATAGTGCAGCAAGGTGGTGCAATGGACAGAGTGGGGGCCTGGAGTCAGGAGGACCTGAATTCAAATTCAGCTTCCTAGCTGTATGACCCTGAGCAAGTCACATAAACCCCTGCCTCAGTTTCCTCATCTGTAAAATGGCGATAATAATACCACCTACCTCCTAGGATTGTTGTGAGGGTCAAATAAGATCAATATTTATAAAACGCTAAGCACAGAGCCTGACATATAGTAGGTGCTTAATAAATGCTTGCTTCCTTCCTTCCTTTAGAGTTCTACTACACTGTCTTCCAATATTTTATAGTTTACTCACTGTTCCAACTTGAAGCTCTCCTGGGATTTTAGGAAGAGAGATTTTGTTGGCTGGAAACATCAGCCAAATCAATTCAGGAAAATTCACAGCCCATCGAAACAAAAGGATTTTTTCTGCTTTGGGAGAAGTTTCACTAAACCTCAAGCCCTTTCTCATTATCTATCAGTTCCCTAATCAAAAACCTGCAGGAGCTCCCTGTCATACACCATATACAAACTCAACTTTTCAGTAAGGATTTCAAGTTCTTGCATAATCTAGTCCTCCCCAACCTTTCCAATCTCAATGTCCCACCGCTCTGAAACACATACACTCTATTCCAGCCGGGCTACTCTGATCCGCATTCCCTCAACATATGATGCTCACTTCTTCCTTCATACCTTCACTCACTTTCACTTTCATATAAAGTGATATACTTCACTTTCATCACATTCTTAGTGATTTCAGAACTGACTCAGTTATCCACGCTCAAAGGGAATGAGACAGGTATAGTTCAGCAGAATCCACAGATAATCCCAACCCTCTTTCTGGATAATAGTTAAAATTGATACCCTTATACCACATAGTTCAGCAGAGAAGTTAACCAAGTAATATATTTCCTTTCTGGAGGTCACCTCCAAGAAGGAAGGAGGATCAACTTTTTCACCTGGATAACCCACAATTTGGATAACTGGGAACTAAACAAATGCCAAACTGGATTGACATAAAAGAACCAAAGCAAGAGTTTGATAATTCTTGATGAATATTGTCAGCAAAATCCCTGCCAATCAGGTAAGGGAATACAGAGATGTGACTATGGAAGCCTGTTGTATGAAGTTTGGATTCAGTCAAAGGGCCCACACTTGAGGACCTAAAGGTCACATGTGGCCTCAAGGCCACAGGTTCCCCACCTTTGGCCTAGGCTATATGGCTGGAACACAAGGCAGCAGAATTTAATAGTGTATATGAGCCCAGGGAGAAGGTAAATCCTCATTGGGCCCCAGTGTTCGAGTGGTATCACTGTGGCTCCTAATGACTTCTCTACATGGCCTAACTATTATAAAGTCCTCTTGCGGATACTTATCGCTTCCCAAAGGTCAGGGTGACCCTCTCCTGGCAGGAACTGCATGACACCACAAAGTCAGGTCACTGAGCCAGGGCTGCTCGATCTTTTTGGTCTGTGATTTATCCATGAAGTTCAGATTACTCATACAACATTGCTGTCCTTATTCTGCTAAACCTCTGTTCACCCATTACCAGCCCAATTATCTTACCTTTACTTGGATTCCTTCCTGCCCCTGTTAACTAATCTACTCTACTGAAGATTACTAGAGAAAGTCTCTAGGAACTCACTTCTTGCTCCAAGTTTGACAGGTAGAGGGAGAGAGACAGTCAGCACTCAGGAAAGGCTGGTTGACTTGGCAACAACCCCAAGATGTCTTTCTACTTTCCCTTATGGGTACCACCATGTCCTCCCTTTACCAGAAGTCAAAAATTGGCAAGACAATTGGGTAATCCTCATGATCTTCTCAACTGAGGTTGCCTTTAAGTAATAATAATGATGATGACAGCTAGTATTTATATAATGCTTTAAGGTCTGCAAAGCACTTCATAAATATTATCTCATTTATCCTCACAATAACCGTGGGAGGTAGGTGTTATTATTAACCCCATTTTATAACTGAGGAAGCTGAGGCAAACTGAGGTTAAGTGACTTGTGTAAGATCATACAGCTAGTAAGTGTCTAAGGCTTGCTATGAACTCAGATCATCCTGACTATGGCTCAGTACTCTGTCCTTTGTGCCACTGGCTGCCTCTGGATGGGAAATGGTGCCTCAGGCAGAGAGTTTCTCAGAGCTCAGGCCTCTGCTGCCATCTCCCCATGCCTCTCTAAACCTGCTAGTATCTCTATAGGCCATCAGGTAAATGGTCCATGTCACTGGTGTCCTCCAGGGATGCTCATCTGAAACCCAGCTTCCCTTGGCTCTCATGGCTTTGGGGGTGGGAAAAAGGTTGGCAACATGCCTCTATTGGGGGAATTGACTGACAGGGGAACGATGGAATTAAAGCAACACCAAATACAATAGGGTGTACCCAAGGGCAGCTTACCTATGCTGGGGATTGGTGTACTTGAGCAGCTCAGCCAGTTGCAGGGGATATTTGCAGATCTTCTGCACTGGGGTCAGCAAGAAACCATCCAGGGAGATGTCAATCATCTTCTGGAGCAGCCGGCAGGCTTCAAAGAAGTACACATACTTGTTGACTTTGGCCAGCTTAGAAAGCTCCACACAGGCATTGGGGTGGTTGTTGCAGTATTCCGAGTAGATCTGGAAATCATTTTGCTGCAAGGGAGGGAAAGAAAAAGCACATTGTGCATTATAATTGTCCCTCATTTGTGCGATAGAGCAGGCAGATGCACAGTCAAGGCAGGTAAATGGTACACTTGGACCTGGAGTCAGGAAGACCTGAGTTCAAATCCCACCTTAGACACTTACTGGCCAACTCACCCAATCTAATTCATTGTAAAATGGGGATATAACAGCAAATACTTCTTCCCAGGATTATTGAGAGGATAGAATGAAATATTTGTAAAGTGCTTTCCAACACTTAAAATGTTACATAAATGCTAGCTATGATTACTAAATGTGTGATTGGTAGGATGATGCCTCATTATAGGATTGGTGTTGGGGACCACCGAGGCTCTCAGTTTTCTGTGGCACTCTAAGGAGGATATACCATGCAGTATTATCCACAAGGAACTAGGTCAGAATTTTGTGCTATCGGCGTAGCAATATTTCTAAAATTGGTAGGCTTTTCAATAATAAGCATCACATTGTCCATTTTTTGGATCAAAAGTTAACAAATATGGCAGCACTTTTAAAAAGTTAGAAGTACTACAGAGAAGTAAAATATGATTATTAATTATTATAATTTTTGACATTTGTCTTCCTGACATAATTCTGTATGATTGCCACAGCAGAGATCAGAGTCTTTGGAAAACACTTTGTCTACAAACAAATAGGGGAATAGGGAAACCAACCCTGGATCACTTTCCCCACTTTGCTCCTACTCACAGGCTGCTGAATGGAGCAGGATGAGATCACAAATCTGTGTGCCTGGGTCCATTACATTCAGCTGAAACCACTCTCTCCAAAGCTTGTAGTGTTCTCTTAATTTGCCAAATCCCACATCTTTTCTCACACCTCTGAGCACAAGACCAGTTAGCCGGGTTTCAGAAGAGAAAATATTTCTTTCTGAATAAACAACCTGCTCACTTACATATTCTAAGAAGCAAGAGCCCAGCTCGCTCAGGTGGGGATGGTCCTTGTTGAACTTCTTTTCCAGAGCCTTCACAAACTTTTTCTGGCACTTGTAAATCTCCTCGATGTTCCCAAAGATTGTCTTCAGCTGCTCTTCTGTAAACATGTCCGCCCGCTTGCGGCACTGTTTGATGTAACCCTGTGGGCAAGGCAGACAGGTGAGGAATGATATGGGCCTGGGAGCCAGGGCAGACGCTAGGACACAGCTCTGCTTCCTCTCCCGGGAGCATTCCCTGTGCACCTCAGCTTCCAAAGATTTCTTCCTTCCTTTGAACTCTTATCAGACTTATTGTCCCAACCATTTATTTTTCATTTTGACATATGTAGAGTATTATGTGATAGCTCAAGTATTATTAAGTGACTTTTCATATTTGGACATCTTGTTTCCCCATCTAATCTGCAAATGCCTGGAGGACAGTGATATGTCTCCTCCTTTTCTTGTATCTTCTCACAGTAAATAGTAGGTGCTTAATAAATGTTTGCTATATGAATGAAACATAGGAGAAGGGGAGAGAGCTTAGATCCTGTATTAAGGATGGGGGTCTGTAAATTTAGACTTTGGATTTGTCTGCCTAGGTGAGGGAAAAACAGGATTGCAGGGCTTTAGAGCTAGAAAGGTCCTTAGATCTCACCTCTGCTACTTAGAGCTTGTGTGACTTTGGGTAAGTCACTTAACTTCCCTGGGCCTCAGTCTCCTTATCTGTAAAATGAGGGGATGGGACCAGATGGCTTGTGAGGGCCTTTCTAACCCTAGATATATGATTCTTTAAGTCACTGAGTGTAATCCTACACTGAGTTTAATCCTTCATTTTACAGATGAGAAAAGTGAGGATAGAGAAGTTAAGTGACTCGCCCAAGGTCATACAGTAAGTCAAGGAACTGAGAAAAGTCCCCCAAACGAAGCCTTCCTAAAGACAAGTAGAGTTCAACTTTTTTCTCTGATGGTCCAGTTAATGTCACAAAGAGTGTGAGAGAGATTTAAGACTGTAATGAAAAAAAAATCAAGAATCACTAAAGATCATTTTAGGACAAAGACCATGCAAGCTGCAATGGCAGAGGTTCCTTTCATCTCAGAGTCCTGGAGTCACAAGACCTGGGTTCAAATCCCATTTACTGCGTAGACAACCTTGGGCAAATCATAGGCCAATCTGCTTTGCACTTTTCTCATCTGAAAAATAATGAGGAAAAATGAACTAGAGGACCTCTGAGGTCTGCCTTCTAGCTCACTATCTAAGAACACAGGGTGAGAGGGCCCTGGCTGGAATGTTTGCTTGGGTAACTGCACTTTGAACTCCAAGTTACAGAGGAATATTGTGGAAAGAGCCCAGTACTGTGAATCCTGAGATCAGGATTCTGAGTTCTGGCTCCCACCTCTAGCTTGCCTTGTGACCTTGGACAGGTTCCTCTCTCAGAGACTCAGTTTCCTCATCTGTCAAATGGGACAATGTCTATTCATTATATTTCACAGGGTTGAATAAAATGAGATCGTGAATATGGAGTTTTTTGTGGTGGAAAGGTGGTTTAGAAATCAACCAGCTCTGCCTCTGTATTTTACAGGAAAAGAAACGGAAGGTCAAGGAATGAAAATGATTTGCTCAAGTCAAACTGGCGGTTAATAGCAGAGTGAGGGTGAGAACCCAGACTGCTTGAGCTTTGAAAAACATAAGGTAATGTACACAAGGGTAAGGGCTTGTTCTCACATTCCTAATGGCTTTTAGCGAGCCCTGCTGGCTTGGCCCCTAGTGCACCTCTCCATCCATTCACCTCGCAGATGTCCTTCAGGTGTTTGATGTAATCCTTCTCCGTGCTGATGATCTCGTTTATGACATTGGTCCTCATCTGATCCTTGCTGGTCTGTGCCGTGCCTTGGCGCCGAGAGATGCTGCCAGTGTCTGCCTCTTTGCCATCCTCGGCCTTGGCAGGGTAGTCTTCCATGGGTTCATCCTGGTTGACTCGAAGCTACATTGAAATTCACAGAGCTGTCAGGACAAGGGTTCCCACATGCTGGGGAATATCCAAGGGTATGCTGGAGCCAGAGTGAACCAGCTCAGGAAAGCTGAATGTTAAATTTTCAGTGATGGCATTTATGCCTCAGAAATGGGTAAACTCTACAAATTAAGGCTTGCTTTATTGTTTTGTTGATTGTCTATACTTTAAAAAGTGATGGAAAAATGTTAATAATGCAGATTAAAATTAAAAGTGTATCATGTATACAGTTTTTTTTGTTTTTTTTTTTTTGAGGGCAGCGAGAACCAGCTGTTAAACATTTACCAGCACAACCCTGGGTATGTTTCTGAATTGGACTATCATGTACAAAATGGGGAACAGTGGAGTAGGGAAAAGACAACTTTCTCCAGCCATCCATACCCCTTCCTATATACACATATGCACATGCCCACTCACACAAGTACACCATAAATAAGCACTAACTCAGAGAAACCTGGGAGGACTTCTCTGAAGTGATGTAAGAAGAAACTAACAGAACCAGGAGAACTAGATACACAGTTAGTGTACTAATGTAAATAAAATCTATACTACAGAACAGTTGTATTCTGAACGACATAATGACCATCTGAAAGGCAGAGAACAAAAGAAGCACTTTCTCTCAGAAGAGAGGCAGGGGAAATATGGACATGGAATATTTATCAGGGATAGGGGGAAGGGTGGTATATTCGGAAATGACCATGATGCTAAAATAAAAGTTATCCATAAAGCTAAAAAATTTTTAATTAAAAAAGCGAACACTGTTGCTTCGGAAGCCAACATTTCTGTAAAAGCAGTGAATATTATTCTTAATCCATAGATGGATGTTTGGCATTCATTCATTCCCTCATACTTGGTGGGGATATGGGGAGAGGGACTTTTAACAATGCCTCCCTAGCCCCAAATGTGACTATGAGCTTATCTTCAGTAAAGACTTGTTTGCTAAGTGAGTTGAATAGAATTTACTCCCACCCTCCACCCCTTTCCCAACTCATCTGTCCTTTTCTTATAGGGTTCTGCTATCTGTTAGCTGATAACAATTATTAGTATGTCACACCCATCTATTCTAATGTTCACTAATGGATCATCCCTTTATGGTAATACAGCAAAAGGCTAACGGTAGAATTTCAGATACTGTGGCAGGTCTGTGGGAAAAATATTTTGGGGTTAAGGGTCTTTTAAAAGACTCCCTCCTATCATATCACGTAGGCAGCCACCTATTCTGCCCAGGCATAGGGACAGATCTGGCTGTCATTCCCATATTTCCCTGACTCTGGTCTCATTCAAGATTATGGTTAAGGTAATCAATCAATCAATCAATAAATCAATAAACATTTATTAAGAGCTTACTATGTGCCAGACACTGTGCTAAGCTCTAAGGATATGAAAAGAGGCAAAAGACAGTCCTTGCCCTCATGGAGTTTACAGGCAGGAAGAGGCACCAGTTCCAGAGAGGCTATGACATAAGGTTATAACAGAGTTTCAGGTTATTTAAACTGCAATAGATAGGTACTATGGAGAGTCAAATAGTAAGACATACACTGATCCAGACATACTCTGATCCTATAGGTTAGAGTGTTCTGACCTGAGGCTTTTGGCAGGGTCAGAACTCAGCAAAATTATGAAACTGCTATCTCCTTTGCTATAGCCTTTCCCTTCCTTTCTGCTGGTCTGCTTTCCCCTCCCCATTACGTACATTAGTTGGCTTTCTTGCTGCTTTCCTTTCCCTTTTCCCTTATATTAAAAACCCCACAGTTCAGGAAGGATCTGACATCTGATATGTATTAGTATGAATTAAAGTCACAGGATGATAGATTGAGAGGGAAGTAATCTTAGAAATCATTTAGTCCAACACCTTTATCTCATTGTTGAGGAAAATGAGGCCTAGAGAGAAGTAACTTGACCAGGGTCACATAGGTCATCTAACTCCAAATCCTGTCTCCATAAGTTTCTATGTTTCTTTTCCAGCAGAAACTTACATTTTCAGCTTGATTTCTGGCTGTGGATTGGTCAAAGGAGTTCATCAGTCATCAAAAAGATGATGGGGAGGATTTGGGGGCAGAGGGTCTCCCAGAGAGACCTTTTTGATAGAAAGAGAGAATTAACTTACCAGAGTGTAGTTAGATCTAAAGTTCCAGCCCTGTGGGTTCTGAGATGATCAGGTCTGCTTGGACCTGGGTTGTGTATTGGGGGTTGGGAAGTGGAGGAAGGAAAAAGTAAAGAACTAGCACAATGAAAACCAAACATTTTGGAGGCAGAATGTCCCATTGTTATTGGCTTGATTTCACCAACCCTTATGCTCCTTTTCCTGAAAGAGTTATATATGCTAGATCCTTATTTTAATTTAATTTTCTAATTAAAGTGCTAAGTTATGCATCTATTATTACTTTGAGATCTTTAAGGAGAGAATTTCACAAGTCCTTTTATGAACAACCCTGACAGATATCCCTTATATTTGTAAATCACTGATCTAGAATCAGAAATCCTAAGGACAGGAGACAAAAGACCAAGGATTGTAAGGTGTATATATGAATAGGAAAGGAGAGAGGGAGGGAGTTGGGTACTAGGGATAAAGGGTGGTGGGGAGCTCTGGGGATCAGAGGGTGTGTGGAGATTCAGTGGGAAAAAACTGGCCATGGAGTTAGGTTGAGAGGGAGGCTCCAGGTTTTAGTGAGACAGTTACAGAAGTTTGGGGAAAATGAGTCTATAAAACCCAGATGTTTTCTCACAAATGACCAGCAGGTGGCAGCCAAGTAGAGACAATGGCTCTATACTCTCAGCTCGAACAATGTTCTTCTGTGAAACCGGAAGAAAACATTACAGGCTATTCTAGTGCCAATAAAGCTGTTTCTTAACTGAATTTCAATGCTTGGCATTTTAAGGGCAGTCACCGGGCATGAACTATATGTACCTCTGGGTAAACATTCTTGGATTTCGTCATGTGACTTATATAATATAACTTGTTCAGACATTATCCAATTGATGTCTTGAAGATTCCCCCTGCCCCTCCTCCAAACACATGAACCCCACTGGCCAGTCACAGGACTTATAATTTTTTTTAAATCATTATAGCTTCATTTCTTTGGATTGAGAATTGACCTTTCCAGACTCCTCTTTTGAAATACAAATACTCTGGGGGTAGGTAATACATTTAGTACCTAACACTAAATTGTGTCCATTCATAGTAACAAGAGTGTCCTGGGAGAAACATGAGTTTGCTGCTGAAATGGAGGGAAAAGACACCCAGAGAGGAGACGGAATGGGCATGAGAGGATGACCAAGTCAAACTTTGCTGATTTCACAGTTCAGCTTAGAACTGGCTCTTAAGGCACATGTGCATAAGAAGTAAATGATCCTCCATAAAGGATGGTTTCTGTAAAATGATGGTCTCAGGCATTTTCCATATTAAGCTTTGTCAGACACAGAGGTGTCAATTTAAGTACCACCTCTGACATATCAGTGACTCTGGGTAAGTCATCGAACCTTTTAGTGCTCTAGTCAGCTCTCCAAGACTAAAAATTGCAAAGAAGATGCATTGGTTGAGGATGTTCTCTACACCTACAGGGAAAGTATCCATCACTCATGTTTAATAGAGTTAGTTTCAAGTTTGGCACAGAGTCACAAGAAGTGTGTGTGTGCTTGTGTGTGTGTTAAGTGGCCACATCTGCTCAACACAACAAGCTTAGAGACAAGATAGTCTTTACTTTGGGCCCAGGAAACTTCTGTTAAAATCTTCCCTCTTTCTTTCCTTCTTTCCTATGGAGTTGCCTTCCCTTTCTTTTTCTCTCTTCCTTCCTTCCTTCCTTCCTTCCTTACTCCTTCTTAGTGACACACAGATAATTGTAATATGCAACATTACAAGAAAAAATGTATTAGGGAATGGCAAAACAAATTTATCACCCTAGCTAAGTGAGACACAAGGAAGATAAATTAATGGAAGAGAGAGACTTGGCATTTATGGAACATTATCCTAGGAAGACCAGTGTAAAGACACTGAGAAGGGAGATGGATCTGAGTGAAGAGCAGCAACGGGGGACAATGGATTGTGGGTGTCTGTGTCCAGACATGACAGTGCTAGATGCCTAAAGGATACAGTGGAGAGAATGTCTGAACATCATTTTCCTTCACATAGATTGTATTTACTTAAAATGGGGGTGCAGCCATGTTGGAAGGCAAAGCCTGGGGCTATGATTCAACAGGATTCTGAATTGTACCAATTGTCAATGGTTCAGTAGTCAAGATGCACTAGGAAATGGAGAGGAAAGATTGCTTAGTCTCAGGAAGAAAAGGGTGATGGAGATTGGGTGGGGACAGACATATATGGGCTTTTTGACCTTAACTTACACATGGCTCAGTGGCAAAGAAAATAATCTATCTCCATTTGAATGAGTATTATAGATTCCAGGGTACTGTGTCCAAGGGAAGGGAAGGAGGAAAAAGAATCGATCTTATTCATAGGGAACAACTTGTCCTCAAATATCTCTCTTGTCTGGCCTTTAAAATGATGACTAAACATCAGCAGTCATGCTTATTAGAGGCTCATTTCTTTGGGTTATCAAGATCCTCATTTATTTTTCAAATAAAAATCTACCTTCTCTTTCTCCCACCTCCCCCTTCTCCTGATTTGTCCCTCATTAAGAAAACAAGGGGAAAACCCCCAAACATCTGTTACAAACATACATAGTCAAGTAAAATAAACGCCTACATTGACAACATCCAAAAATGTATACCTTAATCTGCACTCTGACTCTATCACCACTATCATGAGGTGGATAGAATGTTCTCTGGAATTATGGTTGGCCATTGGATGGTCATTGATCAACGTTCCTAATTCTTTTAAAAGTCGATTGTTTTTACACTATTGCTGCTGTGAAAATTGTTCTCCTGGTTTTGTGCATTCACTCTTCCTCAGTTCATACAAGTCTTTCCAGATTTCTCTGAAACCATTCCCTTTATCATTTTTCATAGCACAACAGCATTTCATTACATTCATATAACATAACTTGTTCAGATATTATCCAATTGATGGGTTCCTTCTCGCTTTCCAATTTTTTTGCCATCACAAAAAAGAGCTGCTATAAATATTTTTGTACATATGGTTCTTTTCTCTCTTTCTTTGATCTCTTTGGGGGTACAGACCTCGATGTGCTATTGCTGGGTCAAAGGGTATGTCCATTTTAATAGCTTTTTGGGCATAGTCCCAAGTTGCTTTCCAGAATGGCTAGTCCAATTCACAGCTCTCCAACAGGGCATTAATGCACCTGTTTTTCCTACAGCTCCTCTAGCATTTGTCATTTTCTTTTGTTTTTTTTTTGTTCAGCTTTGCTGATCTGAGGGGTGTGAGGTGGAACCAAGCTCCTTATTTTAAATGCAATGCCTCAGAAGGGTGATATATTACCCATTATCAGTCATAAACCTCTTGATGTGTATTAGTTTATGATCTGATAGCGGAGATCAAGTCCCTGAGACAACGGGCATTGTGATTTGGGCTAGGGAAGAAGGAGTTAAGGTGCAATTCATTCTCGTATATTTAGCACTTAGCACAGTGACTAGCACATAGTAAGCACTTAATGACTTCTTGGTGACTGACTGACAATTCTGGAGCTTTGGACACTGACTAGAAAAGGCAGTCCTAGGTAGGTGGGGAGCATAGTGGGCAACATGAGGGCACTAGAAAAGAATAGTATTGAAAAGGGAGACAAGGGGCACAGGAGACAAACTTCATCTACTTTCTCTAACTTTGCTGCAGATTAACCTGGATGGGACAAATCCAGGTGGTAACATTTAAGAACATAAAAATGAGAAATCTTCAAATGTCCTACTTCAGACCAGAATTACTAGAGGAAGAACACCTCTTGTGCATTGAAAACTGAACCTTTCCTGAAGGAATCACTCCCCTGATTTATTTATGCTGGCAGAGCACAGGGCAGAGATAGATGCTGGTGGCCACAACTGAACATACATGTTTAAGACTTACCCGGACAAAGCTGGCAGGAAACCAGCCCTCACCATCCAGGATCCGCCCCCACCACCACTCTTTGTTGGTGGCATCCATTACTTCAATGACATCTCCAGCTTTGAATCCCAGTTCTTGGTCATCCATGGTGACATGGTCCCAGAGTGCCTCAGCATAGACCACACTGCCATCACTGATAAGCTGTGGATAGATCCAACAAGACACTGGTAAGTAAAGACTCCACAACAACCAACAAATTATGTAACTACTATGTGTAAGACGCTACTAGGGACAATGTCGGGGTACAAAGACATATGAGACATGATTCTTGTCCTTGAGGAATTCATGATACAGTTAAACAGACATAATGTAGGGACATGAAACAATAAGAAAATCGTTAAGTCCTAAACTTTGATTCAGATTTTAAGAGCTGTAGGATTTCATAGGATCACAGGTTTGGAGATGGAAGAAACGTGAGAAAACATCTAGTCCAGTGGTAGGTAACCTGTGGCCCCAAGGCTCACGTGGCCTTGAGGCTACAGGTTCCTCACCCCTGAAGTCCAACCACCTCTTTTCACAGGTGAGGAATCCGAGGTTGATAGAAATTAAGTAACTTGCCCAACGTCATCCAACTAGTAAATAGGGAAGCTAGGATCTGAACCCAGGGCCTTTGACTTTATTTCAGAGGAAGGAGGCAGTGATGGTTGGAAAAGTTAGGGAAAGCTTCATAATAAGATAAGACTTGAAAAATGGTAGGATTTACATAGCTTGAGCAATGTTAAGTAATGTCAGCAGAACAAAAATGTTTTTCTAGATATCACAGACTATTTCACTTTTTTTTTGAGACTAGTTCTCAGTATCTCATCCAAACTGGACACACAGCAGTCACTCATGGGCACAATCTCACTGCTGATCAGCATAGAAGCTTTGGCCCATTCCATTTCTGACTTGGGCTCCTCCTTAGGCAAGCTGGTGCTCCCCTCACTCCCAGTGGTTCACCATATTGTTACTGGATTCAAGGCAGACAATTGATCAGTTTTATTCCTACTGGAGCTCAGAACCCTCCATCGGTCTCAGCTTCCACTCTTAGTAGGGATTATAGGGGTGGGCCACCACATCAGGCACAATTATTTTTGAGAGAAGGACACAAGACTGAAAACACAGTAGGTACCCAACAAAGGTTAGTTGAATTGAAACTCTTTTCATATTTCTCCAAGGAGGCAGGTGGGGTCAACAAAAACTACCTTCGCAAAAGCAAAGTCAATTCTTAGAGCAGAACAAAGGTATAAATATACTCAGAAGATAGAAATACAGAGCACAGCCACGGTGAATATGATTCTTCACAGCAAAGTGTATCAAAGGTGGTGGCATGCAGTACCATTTTCTTTTTTTTAATAATAAAAATGTTTTTGAGTTCTAAATTTTCTCTCTCCCTCCCTCACTTTTCCTCTCTCTGAGACAGTAAGTAATCTGATATAGGCTATACATGGTCAATCATGCAAAACATATCACCATATTAGTCATGTAGTGAAAGAAGATACCAAATCAAAGGAAAGAAAAACACGAAAAAAATACAGAAAGTGAAAAATAGTATGCTTCGATGTATGCAGTACTATTTTTTAATGTGGACATTGTTATTATTATAGCAAGTGTATCAAAGATGGTAGCATGCAAGACTACTACTTTCAATGTAGACATTGTTATTATTATAGCAAGTGTATTAAAGATAGTGGTGTGCAAGTCTATTTTCAGTAGTGTCAGTGTGCTGCTATTTCCCCCAGCCCACTTCATTGCCTGTAGGAACCACTACCCAACACTTTCCACAGGAGATAGCATAGTCACAGCTGTTTGCTCCTTAACAGAATCTCTGGCCAGTGGAAGGCCACCTAGCCTCAGCTCCACAAGACCCTCATTTTCTTCTTTTCTCGTGCAGTAGATACTACCAGATTCCTATGTCTGAGGAAGATGAGGAAATGACTGCTTTCATTTGTCAAGGGACTTAAAAGTTAGCTGACCAATAGAAGAAAGCTAACCCATACAAAGTAACTGACAGTCTGGCCAACTTGCCTGTTTACAAAATTGTCCCAGAGAATGGAAGACACTGGTCTTGAAGTCAGGAAGATCTGAATTCAAATATAGCCTCAGACACTCACTAGCTGTCTACTAGCTTATCAGCTAGGCAAGTCCTTTAGCTTCTGTTTGCCTTAGTTTCCTCACCTGTAAAATTTAAATAATAATAGCACCTACCTCCCAGGGTTGTTGTGAGGATCAAATGAGATAGTAATTTTAAAGCACTCAGCACAATGCCTGGCATAGCATAAATGCCATATAAATGCTACCTATGATGATGATGATGATGATGATGATGTCACCACCATCAGGACTCCCCAGGAAGAAAGGATTCTTGCTAAACTGTTCTTCACATTGATCCCATCCAATACTCCTGGGCACACCTTCTGTGTATGTGACAATAGGGATTGTATCTTTGTATCCCTAGGGTTCAACTCAGTGCCTAGCATATAATAGGAGCTTAATAAATGTTTACTGACTGACTGAATATTCTGAATTCTATTCTAATATTTCATCAGACTGGTCTTCTCACTGGCCTTTGTACAACCGTCCATCCTATCTTCCCTGTGTTTACATTAGCCATTTCTCTTGCTTGAAATTCCCTCCCCGATCCCTTCTATCTATTCAATTTCTAGGCATCCTTCAAGACCCAACCAGGATCCATCTCCACCATGAAGCCTTGCCTAACCACTAGAGCTCTACAATAATTGTGTACAGTATGTACTTTACTGCTCATTTGTCTTATAATTTTGTCCTCTGTTGTTTTATTTCATGTCTGTTGCATCTTTTCTTATTGACTACACAAGTGTAGTTAATAATCCTACTTGAAGGCAGGAATCCCAGTTCCCCTATCTCTTGCATTTTTTATAGCATTTCACAATCAGTCAGTACTTTAAAGGATCTTGTTGATTGAATGACAGATTCTGGGCAACCATTTAACCGCCCATTAGTCTTGCCGATGAGCTGGAACAGCTAAAGAACCCAAAAAAGCATGCCAACTTGGCACAAGAACCCTTGCTTAGTCATGAGCAGGTTCAGGTCCATTTTTGTCCATGTTTGGTTTTGAACTACAATAAAAAGACTTTGTTTATAGAATGCTAGATTTCAGAGCTGAAAGGGATCTTCTCCAGGGGTTCTTGAGCTTTTTTTTTTTTTTTTAAATGTCATGGGTCCTCTTGACAGTCTGGTGAAGCCTATCCATTCTCAGAATCATTTTTTAAATGAATAAAATACATTGGATTAAAGAGGGAATCAATTATATTGAAATACAGTCTGTCTACAAATCTATCTATCTATCTATCTATCTATCTATCTATCTATCTATCTATCTATCTCTAACAAGTTCATAGATTCCAGATTAAGAATCCCCAATCTAGTCCCAATCCCACATTTTACATATGTGAAAACCAAGGCCCAGAAAGGTTAAATAACTAACTTACAGTCACACAGGTAGCAGGTTACCACTTGACATAGTAGACAGAAATCTAGCCTTCAAGTCAGGAACTGAATAAAATAAAAATAAACTAACCTCTAACCCTATAGCAAGCTACAGGGGTAGCATGCTCCTTTTCCTACCAGAAGCTAAGATCTAAGCCAAGTCTTGCTTCCTTCATAAAGCCTTCCCCAACTATCCTTTTGATTCCCTCTTCTTTGATCTCTTTTAGTGTCTAATTTTGAGCACTTGACTATTATATTTGCATTTTTCTTGGTTTCTTGCATGTTAGCCCTTTCACTAAGTAGACTATAAGATCCCAGAGGGCAGAAATTGTGTTTTCTCCTTTTGTATTCTCTAAAGTGCCCAGCATGGTGTCAAACATATTGTAAATGTTCAGTTGTTGAATAACTAACTGGCTGACTGGTATATTCTTTGCTACAACCAGGTAAACCTCCCCACTATCTTGCAGGGCAATCTGGAAGACTTGACCTTTCTAGGTCTTAAGCCCTTCATTTAAAACAGGCATATTGGAGTTCTGCTTCTGGGAGCCAAGATGGCAAAGTAAGAAGTAAGTTGCTCTTACCCTCCCTTAGTAACCTCTGAAAGCCCAGAAAATAATACTGCCCCAGGAAAAACCTTGGAACAACTGAACCTGAAGAAAGATGGGGTGCAGCAGCCCAGTAGCCCAGGGATTAATAGCAAAGGCCTCTCTTGCCCTGGGGGAAGGGGAGCAGTGCAGAATGGGAGCCATTCCAGCAAGCTAGCTGAAAGACTCACCTCAGCATGCCAGGAGGAGATCCTGAAACACAGGTGGTGGAGCAGGCAAACACCAATACCTGGACCCCCTAGTGCCTCAGTGAGGGTTGGGGAACTGGTGGAAACCAGCTTGGAAAACCACCACGTGCCCCAGCATTCTATAGCAACTGGGTCTCCCAGTGCCTCAGCAAACTAAGGGAAGTAGCACTCCAAGGGGCCCCATGTGGATAAACATCCTGCAACATCCATCTCAAAGGAGCTGAAGAAAGTGAAAAGAAGGAAAGGCCCAGATGAGCAGGAAATCTCTAGGGGACTCACTACCTAATCCTACCCCTAGAGTTCCAGTGTTGCTGATTCCAGCCTAATACCAGGTAAGCTGCCAGAACCCTACAGCCTCCAACTGCCAACATCAGAGGCCCCAGCACACAAGACAGTGACCAGGCCCTAGGCTCCCAACACAAGAAGCTTGGGTCAGAGCCTTCTGCTCCCCAGCAGGAGAGCCCAATCTCTTTAAAGGCCAGGAAATAAGCAAACACCATGAGCAAAAAGAAACATATGATAGATTCATATTATGAGAACAGTGAAGATCAAGGCAGAAATTCTGAAGAGTACAACATTATCAATAAACCCACATCTGGAACCTCAAAAGGGAATATGAACTGGTCTGAAGCCCAAAAAAACCTTCTTAGAAGAGCTCAAGAAGGATTTTAAAAGTCAAATGAGAGAGGTAGAAGAAAAAATGGGCAAAGAAATGGGAGGTATGCAAGAGAGAGACAATAGCATGGAAAAGGAAGGACAAAAACCAACTGTAGAAAACAAGTCCTTAAAAAATACAATTGGCCAACTGGAAATAAAACAGGCATATTCATATCTATACCCTCTACCACACAGGGGTGCTATGAAGATCAAATGACATTATGTTTATGAAAGCTTTAGTGTG